AAAAAAAAAAAAAAAAAAAAAAAACACATCGAACCAATTAATGTGTGTCTACCTTCTAACACCATCTAACAATTCTTGATTACGGGCATCATGCTTCAGTCCCTCCTGATATGTCTCCAGTGCTTTTTCGTACTCTTTCATGAAAAATTGGACAGCACCCTTCCTGGTATAGCCTTTCGAGAATGTTGGATCGAGTTCAATGCATTTTTCAGCATCTTTGAGTCCCTCAGGCATCGCCCCGAGTTTCGTGTAAGACGCAGCTCTATTGCTGTATGCCTGCATATTCAACGAGTTCAAAATATACCAAAAAACAGAACATACACACACACAAAGAAAAAAGGTCGTTACTCCAAAAATGCAATCAGAAGTAGTTTACATCAAAAGTACCTTGGGATCTTTGGGGTTCCTCTTAATTGCTTCTGTGTAGTGCTTGATAGCCTCAGGGTACTTCTGCTCTTTGAAGTACTGATTACCTACAATTCATGGGCAAGCACGGTGTCAATTAGCACGTTATAACATATATTTAGCTAAAAAAAAATGATCAAAGAACGACGATGGACAGTAACTGAAGGAAACAAGTGACATTTCAAATACCCTTTTCACGCTCCTCATCGGCTATCTGTGGATCAAAGTACTCCTGTTGCTCTAGATCTTTCTTAGCTTTCTCAGCATCATTGAGCTTTTTCAGTGTGTCTGGGTTACGATGCTCAGTTAAAGCTTTCTGGAAGGTCTCAATGGCTGGATCATAATCCTTTGAACACTTTGCCATCTTGACTATGGCAGACCCCTTTCTTGTCAAGGCCCTGGCTATCATCTTGAAATCTGATCTCAGTTCTCTACCCCTTTCTACAGCCTGGTCACAGTCTTTGATGCAGTCCTCGTACTGCAATTACAGAAATGAAGTTCAAATTCCAGGACATTTTCTTTTTCCCAATTCACTCTAATTGGGTCAATTACCAGTCTTGATCATTGTACAAGTCTAAGTGACACCAAAGATGGGATAAGGGCTTATTTATTCCAAATTACTCAATAACTTACAGTCGACCAAGACTTCCTCCATTGCAAAAGCAGAAATAATTACAAAATGCGGAGAAAATGTGAACTGAGAGGTGCAAGGCATATTCTACTCTCCCAATTGACAAGTTAGACAATCTATTGTTATCTTATCATACACAAGTTCTAACTTAAGAAGAATACAAAAATACCAAACTTACTCAAGACAATGTCACTACATGCATAGTAAACCTAGCTTGATCAAATGCTAATAGCAAAACAAGTTCAATATCTAAACCCATCTTTAATATAATCTGTACAGCAAATTCACTAGATATAACTAACATGAATCCATAAAATTCATGATCAGCAGATGACGTTCACAAGGCTATGAAGATAAACTGGGAAAATGCATCAAGAGAAAACAACAAAAACTAGCAATTAAAAAGAACAATAGATACCTTGCCCATCTCGAGGTAAACGGCAGCCCGATTAGTGAGGAAAGATATATCCTCATCGTCTAGCTCAATTGCCTTAGAATAGTGCTGAATTGCAGTCTCAAAATCCTTCTTCTTGTATGCAGCATTCCCAGACTCTTTCTCTTTCTGTGCCTGCGCTTTCCTCTCCTTCTTATCCCTCTCTTCCTCAGAAACTTCCATCGGCTCAGGCTCCTTTTCTGGCCTCTTCTCCTCCTTCTCGGGCTCAGCCCGAGCTGCTGCGGGCCTCTTCCTCACTGGAGATCCACCATTAGAAGCCGTGGGCATTTCCACATCCTGCTCAGAGTCCCTTGTCTGGAACTTCAAATTCAATAGCACCCCCAATGCCTGCATAACTCTCTGATCCTGCAAATAAAGGTTCAAATTATTCGGGTTCTTCTGAATATCCTGCAGCATCTTCACAAAATCCGGCTGCTGGAGGAGACCCCGCGTGCCGGGGTCACTCGCCAGCTTGACCCACATCTCCGGCCCGAAAGCATCGCCGAACAGGCCCGCGCCGGGCCCTCCCCGAGGCTGCCTGGAGCTGCGTGCCGAAGCTGCCTCCGCATCGGCGAGCCCGGACTTGAGGGCGTCGTTGCTGGGATCGACCTCGAGGCCCTTCTTGTAGGCGGAGACGGCATCGCCGTAGCTTTGGAGGCCCATGTGGGCGGCGCCCAAGCGTGAGTAGCCTTTGCTCCAATCGGGCTTCAGCTCCACGGTCTTTTGCGCATCGGAAAGTGCCTCGGAGAATTTTCCGAGGGAGGCGTAGGCCGCGGATCTGTTGGAGTAGAGGACGTGGTTGGTGGGGGCTAGGGCGATAGCTTCGGTGAAGTGGCGAACGGCGTCGTCGTAGCTGCCGGCGGAGAATGCGGCGTTGCCTCTGGCCTTGGCTTCGTCCGCCATATTCGAAAGGGTGTTGTGGGGGATTAGCTTAAGCTAAGCTGTGGGGATTAGGAAATAAAACTGGAAATTTACAGGCGATGGCTTGAGTTGTTAATGTTGGATTAATGGAGAAGATAAAGGCTGTTTTTGAAGTGGGAAAAAAAATGGGGTGGAGTGAAGAGAGGGAGCTAGATGGTTCCAGGAGTCCACGAGACTTTAACAGTCACATTCTCGAATGTTCGATGAGTGTGAAAAACCTAATTGTCCAAACTAGAAGAATAATTTAATAATTAACTGGAGTTATAATTTTGCTTTTAATAAAAATCGACTTAAAGTATGATAATTGATAACTATTATGTGAGTGACAATTTTTATTCATTAAACATGGGGAGTTCAATTTGACAAAATTACTCATTATAGATGGATGAAATATGTATAATTTATTAATTTTTTAAAGAATTTAGTAACATAAGAAAATGTAATACATAACACTAATGCTTTGGTAAAACTAGTTGATAAGTTAGCTTATAGCTCATCAGTAATTTTCGAGTTTATAATTTCTGACTTATAGCTGAAAAGCTAGCTTAAATGATAAAAGTGTTTGATAAAATTAGCTGGTAAGCTAACTGATATAAAAATTTCAACGAACTTATTTGAAAAGCTACCCAAAGAAGTTTATCAAATAAGCTCCTCCGACCAAACGGAGCTTATTTGAATACATATAGTTTATAAGTTAACTAAATATGTTAAAAGCTAACTTATTTGTCTATCAAACATAGTCTAAATGGCAAGATAAGAAAAGTTTTGGCCTAATACTATTGCCAAATGACCATGATTATTTTCCAATTAACACTATTATTCGACCATGTGCATTTGCACATGAAACGTAGGTATTATCCACATAGTGCGCTCAATTGTGTTAGAACATGAACTACTTGTATATTTAAAACTTATGTAGCAACACCTGAATATATTGAAATAGCGGAAACACAAAACAAGAGAAATAAACTCTTCGCGGAGCGCCTCAGTACCCCTCAGAGATCTTTCATTGATAAATCAATTGTGCACTCATGTATAATTTGGACTTACAAAACTAGAATACCTTTCTAGCTTAGCCACAACTACACTCGAAACTACCAACTACTTCTCTGGCCACGTCCCCTTGACTTCACACTCTCGACTCTCTCGAGCAAAACTCAATACTTAAACCCTAAGTACTAGAAACAAAGTGTTTGAATAAAAATAAGATAAATTAAAACAAAACGTATTCAGTTCTTCAACATTGAAAGAACATCGAATCTCTTAAAACGTAAACCAAAAAAAAAAAAAACAAAGAACTCGAACTCTCATTTCAATGTTGGGAATAATGTACGAACAATAATAATCAGCCGCGTTAATTTGATCTTCGAGTAGGGTATATATGCAACTCATTCGGTGTGAAGTCTTCTTCAAGTATTTTCCTTCTTTTTCGATTTTCTTCCTTGAAACATGGTAAGTGCATATATCTTTATCTATCTCTCCAAGATCTTCTCATCATGCATGCTTTCATCTAGATCCATGCATATTCGATCTCCTACAATTATTATCACAATAAGATCATGCAAATCTTTCCTAACTATATATAAAATTGTTTATATATACATATCCGAATTATATATATATAAACAAATATAAATAAAAAACTTCCTTTTATCCACATGCTTGCAAAAACACATCTTCAATATATTATTTTTGAACTCATTGCCAAAAATAAATCTTTCAGCATATGTAAATAAAATTAAATATTATAAATTATTTATATGTATATAATATTAAGTTGGGAAGGTTTAGGCTTTGGCAGTCCACAAATGAGACTGAAGAATATGTGAGATGCCATAGTTGAAATGGTGGAAAACCCTCGTCCATTTATATATGGCTCTTGCTTTTGTACTAAGTTGGGCCTTATTATGTTTCAGAATCACAGGACCATAACTTGCTTTAGTTTGCATTACAGCTTAATTATCAAATAACTATGCAACTGGCATATTCCTTATGGCTGCCATGCATTGTTATTTATAATTATAAGGGAAAAAACACAAAGCAATGAATGATACTTAATGACAAATCAACAATCTAAGGATAATGGACTTGCAAACAATTTTCCAATATCTATCAATCCAAATACATATGAAAATATTTTACATATGTCGAATATATTCAAACAAATTTATAGTCATAGTTATTCATATAACAAACCTAACAATGCATTCGAAATCATTTTCATAAAGTAAATCAAGACCCGTGGCAACAAAAACCAGAGAATTCCAACTAAATTTCCATCTTAACCTCATTAGTTGAAGCAAACATCAAATGAACCAACCCTAATTAAGTGAAGAACAGAAATTAGCAAGTGAAAAACCAAAAACCATTTTTCCAACTAGAAGTTAATACCACTCTGAAGTCTTTGATGCTTTGATTTGTAATTTCATCCACTACAAAAAAAAAATAGAGTTCTAGTGAAGAATTTTTTTGTCACTATATCTACAATAGCTTGTAGATATACTGACTGTAGATATAGTGACCACTAGTTGTAGATATAGTGACAAAAAAATTCTTCACTAAAACTCTATTTTTTTTGTAGTGATCCTTTTTCCAAACTTCAATTCAACCCTAATCAAAACCTAATTCTATACATCTCCATGAATTTCGACCAAATACATCATCCCTCCCTATATATTAATTCAAAACGTGTTGAGCCTAAGTGGCAGCTTCTCACGCTTCGTAATGTTATTTTTATATTATTTTTGCTCTGGAGTACTTATGTTTGATATTAGACATCAATAACTTTAATCATATATTCCTTAACTCAACATCCATGTTGTACATGGGTATTGTACTAGTTACTACTATTACTATAGACAAAAAAAAAAAAAATATTAAAAAACCCTGATAAGCCATGAACAACTAAACAACTGCACCTTGAGGAACTCAGTCTTTGAGAGTCGAGCTGCTCAAGATAAGTGAGGTGGAGGCGCGGACTCCGTGGATGCAATGGACTCGACAAGCCGGCTCGGCCGGTGGTGCGGTGGAGTCTCGACAATTTGAAAATGAGAGATGGAGGATGTTTGGGGTCGCGACCTAGGGCTGAAATTTCCCTTTTATACCCTCAACGGTAGTCCGGTGAGGAGCAGCGAGTGCGTGAGTTGCCGGAGAGGAGAGATGCAATCGGAGGTGGTTTTCAGAAGAGAGGATCCCTTTTGTTGCCGACCGAAGACGGGGATTGGCTCGGAAAAATTGGGAGGAAAGGAAATAAAAATTCTAAAGTGAAAAATTGGATTGGGAGGAAAGGAAAAATATTTTGAAATGGAAGATTGAATTGGGGGTTAATTGGTATTTCTATATGGCAAAATGGTTATATTTGACCTTTTATAAAAACATGACCATTATTCATCTCTTGTGATTTGATGATATTAACACTAAAAAGAACAATATTTTGTATAAGAGTCACAATTCAATAACTTTTTTAAAATAATATCACCGTGCTGTAAAATAAAGTTGACGCTTGTTTCATAATGTCACTAACAAAATAACTAAGGTTTTTTTTTTAAAATATTATTATATGCTTAAAAATGGCGACACTAACGTAATTACACTTTGATGTAAATGTTATCATATTAGTAAAAATTGTTACACTTTCTAAAAATTTGTTATTATATTAATACATTTTTCAAAACGTATAGCCATATAACTAAACATGATGACATTTTTGTATAAAATGTCATAATTTAATTACACGGTGACACTCTTTAAAAAGTGACATGATTTGATTACATTTTTAAAAAAAAAATGTTGTTATTATTTTATCTTTGTAACGATTTTTAAAAAGCATCACAAAATATCAATTTTAACTACACTTATTGAAAAGTTCACCAGATATATGTTTTAGAACTTTTTTGTGTTGTAGTGTAGTAAGTGTTAAAAAAGTCTAAAAGATGTGTTAGGAAAGTTCATGAAGTTTAGGTAGTTCTAGATAATTTCTTAGAGGGATGGGTGCCTATAAATAGGAGAGGCCTCTCATTTTGGCAATCCAAGCATCAAAAAGTTTCAAGTAAAAGAGTGTGTGAATGTCATAGTTAGGTGGTGTTGTTAATTTAATAATGTAATTATGTTAGTGTCTATTCCAATGATTTTTTTATTGTAAAAGGTGTTTATTGTAAAAATGCATTCACAAAGTAATTCTTTCATGATAAATTATATTTGTAAAACTATATTTAGTTTATAAAATTAATTTTAATACTGTGTTTAATTACATGGGTCGAGTGGGATGTTTGTACATACTAGTTTGATATATAACCTATTAAGCCTTAAAATTGTCGAATTATATGGATGTCATATATATATATATTTTCAATGACCGACAATAACTCAACCTAAAAATACATAAATAAATAATAATAAATTTGCATCGTCCATTGACCGAAACCACAATTGGCCTGAAATTATACATAACTATCAGGCCTAGAACGATATTATCAATAAGCAAACAGGCATTGCAGAAAGACTTTAAGAGTGTATATTTCTTCAGAGATGTACTTTCCCTGTTCTTCAAAGGCCCTTGCAACCACTCTAAAAGCATGTTTGTTAGAGTAGACGAGACAATAAGATCAAATTTTATCTCATCCCCATGATTGTATTGTATAGATGCGTTTGTTTACTTTGACAGTTGATGAGATTAAAACTAGTTTTACCCTTTTGTCCTTTGCCAATATTTAATTAATATAAACCAACACTTCTAATCCAAAATTATAACCGAAATTTATTTCTGCAAATCATTATGAGCCCTTGCATAGCATGAATTTTTTACGGCAAAAAAAAAAAAAAAAAAAAACAAAAAGTGGTGAAAAAAAAAAGAAAAAAGGAGGTGAAAAGGAATAAAAGCCCGTATTCCTTGAATACGGCTTTTGGAAAAATTATTTTGAAAACGTATTCCGTGAATACGTTTGCCTTTGTAAAAAAAAATGTGAAAAACGTATTCAGTGAATACAGAAAACGTATTTTGTAAATACGTCCTTTTTATGTTGGTCCACTCTCCCTTTTTTTTTTGTTTTTTGTCCACTTACTATTTTTTTATTAATAAATATATAAATTGCGCTGCTTAGCATGCATAAATTTTCTTTTATATAGTGTTTTTCTTTTTCCTTTTTTTTTTTATGCTGCTTATTTTTTATTTTTCTTTTTTATTCCGAATTCAAGTAATATGTAAAAATTGTAATTTTATTTTATTTTTTTGTGTATAATCATTTGCTTTCAACTTCATCATGATTGCAGTTTTACTTGTTCAAATTTGAAACATTCTGTCTTAGTCATCATGTTGCATCGTGTTTCTTGATTTTTCATTTCTATCTAAATTTATATACATATGTTATAACATATGCCTGCTGTAATAAATGATACATGCAAGTAATGATTCCTGATTAAATAATAATTGAAAATCTGGATATGGTTATATGAAAAAATGGAGAAGGCAAGGGACTACTCTTGTTACTGACATCTATATGGCATCTGCTCTACTTGCATCTATCGAAAAACGAGGCAAACTATTCAAACGTACTGTCCGTGCAAACAATGTCCCATTTACATTAACTTTCGCGCTCAACTTCAGAAGTCCGGGAACAAAATCATAAACAAAGTAAAAACTTCAAAGCACAGCAATAAGAGAAAACCACCCATCAGAAAAATTATTATATGCAGGAGTTCGAAAAAAAAAAAAATCAGCTCCCTTTCATGTTAAACTGCTTATCTCATTTGAACAATTCCTGCATTGATGAGTTTCTGTATTTTGTTCATGACAAGAGGATTCTTCATGTGTTCCTGTGCAGCCCTTGGATTCTCTTGCAAGTCAACTAGCACCTACTCGGACATAATTTAAGATTGATTTAATAGACACCAGCTCGATTATTAAACCAAAGATCAGTTTAGGACATCCATAAAATTTGAGAGAAACTAAGCAAAAACCTCCAATACCTGACTCATTACTGGATCTGTAAGGATGTTCTGAATCTCAGGATCTTGCATTGCCTTAGCCTGAAATAATATTTTATAACAAGTATCACGTGTGAGATATAGCTTAGCCAAACCGTATTATATATGTTTATTCTTGTATATATATGTATACAAGAATGTATATCATCAAACCTGTCTCTCTTTCAACTCCTCTGGGCTCAAATCTCCACGGCTGGCCTTGTTTATCTGCTCTACACACCTGCACATGAGCAGCAAGAAAACAAAAGAGATTAATAAACGAATTAAATAATATAGTTGGAGAAAAGAGAAAAGAAAAAAAAAAAAAGAGACAGTTGGTTAATATGTCTACCTCCGAACACCATCTAACAATTCCGGGTTGCGAGGATCATGCTTCAATCCCTCCTGGTATGTTTCCAATGCTTTTTCGTACTCTTTCATGAAAAATTGGACAGCACCCTTTCTCGTATAGCCTTTAGAGAATGTTGGATCGAGTTCAATGCATTTTTCAGCATCTTTAAGTCCCTCAGGCATTGCTCCAAGTTTTGTGTAACAAGCAGCTCTGTTGCTGTATGCCTGCATATTCAATTCAACCAATTCAAATATGCAAAACAAGGTCTTTAATTGTAAACATGCATTCACAAAGTAATTTTGTAGGTCTCGAGTACTTTTGGATCTTTTGGGTTCCGCTTAATTGCTTCTGTGTAGTGCTTAATGGCCTCGGGATACTTCTGCTCTTTAAAATGCTGATTACCTACAATTCACAATCGAGCAACTTATTAATACTTGCTCACCCACATTTACCTACTAACGATCTACAATGTATACAGAACATTACAGTACCTTTCTCACGTTCCTCATCAGCTATCTGTGGATCGAAGTACTCCTGTTGTTCTAGATCTTTCTTTGCTTTCTCTGCATCATTGAGCTTTTTCAGTGTATCTGGGTTACGATGCTCTGTGAGAGCTTTCTGGAAAGTCTCGATGGCAGGTTCGTAATCTTTTGAACTTTTTGCCATCTTCACTAGGGCAGATCCCTTTCTTGTGAAGGCCCTGGCTATCATTCTGAAATCCGATCTCAGTTCTCTACCCCTTTCTACAGCCTTGTCGCAATCTTTAATGCATTCCTCATACTGAAAATTGGAACTTTGAACTTAATACGAAAATTGTAATTGCACTGCAAAAGGTAATTGTCATTCACTTTCACTATGACAGTTTTATCTACCACATTCCAAGCAAATAATTTGGAAAGACATCACAAACATGCAGCAATTGTACCCATGGGATTGCAAAGGCAAATAATTGGAATAAGAAAAACAAGAACATGGGAAATTTGATATTAATTTTATCCCTAGTCAAGTATGTTAGAAGTTCTGTGTGGGAACTGCTCACACAGATAGGATGAAGTTTACTTCTTACAAAGAACACAAGATACCAAAAAAATTACTGATGTCATCGTACCTAGAATGTCGCTGCAAAGAGATGTCACTAGCAGCCTAATCTACCGTCATAAATAAATCGGACTTCACTAGAATCTGTATAGAACATACTCAAGATAGAGCTAACAGGAAACTATCAATCATTATCAAAACATTTAATTAGCTACAGCATAATGTAACATACTAAACTTATCCCCATAATAAACAGAATCTTTCACAAGTACAAACATAAACTGAAAAAAAAAAAAAAAGAAATGCATCAACAACTTAAAAAATGTAACACAACTAGGGTTACCTTGCCCATTTCCAGGTAGACGGCAGCTCGATTAGTGTGGAAGGAAATATCCTCATTGTCCAGCTCAATTGCCTTCGTATAGTGTTGAATTGCGGTCTCGAAATCTTTCTTCTTGTACGCAGCATTCCCAGACTCCTTCTCTTTCAGTGCCTGCACTTTCCTCTCCTTCTTCTCCCTCTCCTCGTCAGAAACCTCCACAGGCTCGGGCTCCGGCACTTTTTCTGGCCTCTTATCCTCCTTTTTGGGCTCGGTCTCCACTGCCGCCGGCCTTTTCCTCTCCGGAGACCCACCATTGGACGCCGTGGGCATGGGCATTGCCACATCCTGCTCAGAGTCCCTCGTCTGCAATTTCAAATTCAATAGCACCCCCAATGCCTGCATAACCCTCTGATCCTTCAAATACAGGTTCAAATTATTGGGGTTCTTCTGAATATCCTGCAGCATCTTCACAAAATCCGGCTGCTGGAGGAAGCCCCGGGTGCCGGGATCACTCGCCAGCTTGACCCACATCTCCGGCCCAAACGCGTTCCCGAAAGGGCTCGCGCCTGGCCCTCGCCGAGGCTGCCTCGAGCTCCGGGCCGAGGCGGCCTCCGCATCGGCGAGCCCGGACTTGAGGGCCTCGTTGTTGGGGTCTATCTCGAGGCCCTTCCGGTAAGCCGAGACGGCCTCGCCGTAGTTGAGGAGGCCCATATGAGCCGCGCCGAGGCGCGAGAAGCCCTTTCCCCAGTCGGGCTTGAGCTCAACAGTCTTCTGCGCGTCGGAAAGGGCATCGGAGAATTTGCCGAGGGAAGCGTAGGCCGCGGATCGGTTGGAGTAGAGGACGTGGTTGGTGGGAGCAAAGCCGATTGCGTCGGTGAAGTGGCGGACGGCGCCGTCGTAGTCGCCGGCGGAGAAGGCGGCGTTGCCTCTGGCCTTAGCTTCGTCGGCCATCCTTGGATCAAAATGAGGGATCTGATTGGTTCTTGAGAATTGGGAATGAATGAAAAATAGAGTAAACCGAAAGGGTTGTTGAAGGGGCTTCTGGAAAGTTCGTTGATTGGGGGTAGCTTTTGTATAGGGCAGATTGTGGATTGAAAATCGCCTAGCTGGCACTTAGGCACCTAATTATTAGAGACATTTTTTTTTTCATAAAATATAGGTAAATTTGCCTCTAATATCACTGACTATTGTCTAAGTTACAATTTAAACATGATCTTTTCACGTTTGTAAATTATATCACAATTTTTAGTTTCTTAGAAACATTCTGAAAATAGTCATAGAAAAGTCGATGTGGTCGAACAAAAAACTGAAGATTGTGATATAGTTTACACGGGGATATACAAATCAGTGCACGAATTTGCAACAAACTGAAGATTGCGATATGATTTGCAAAAGTGAAAAAAGTCGTGATTAAATTGCAATTTCGAATAAGGTTATGATATTAAGGACATTTTTGTCTAAAATATATTGTGAGTTTATGTAAAACACTTCGAGGTGGTTGATACTGAATTTTTTGTATTGTTTGGATTTTTTTTTTTAATTTAATTTGATTAATTTTGAAAAATGTGTATAGTTAGTTGTGAGTGTGATATTGAAATTACATTAAAATAATATTTAAAATAAAAAATTAAAAATGATTTGATGTAAAAGTAGAAGAGAAATTGTGTGAAATAAAAGTTAGTTCAAAATTATGTGAGCGTATAAATATTTAAAGTTGATGTAATATGTACGAATGATTGATTTATATCATTTAAATATATCGACAATATTGAGGATAGTTGAGTTGAGTTAAAGTTGAATTAGATTTGAGTTAAAAAAAAGTGATTAATTAAAAGTGATTGGATTTTTTTAGGATATTTTATGTGTAAGCATCCTCTTAGGCCGTGATTGAATTTAGAAACAACTTGTTTTAGTAGGTTTTTATCGGTTGAGTCACACAGGCTGATTGAATACGGCTCGGCCCAAATAAATTACTTAGCACCCCAGTTGCACTACCGTGTGCCTTGGCACACCTTGCTAGGTGTGCCAAGACATAAATACACGCGCCGACCAAGCATAATAAAAGTAGAATCTGAAAATAAGGAGCATTTGATGTACACGCATCTAATGGGACAAAATGCCACTTTCATTTTTTTTAATTGAAAATGGGACATATTATATAAATTAAAATATATTTAATAATTTATATTAAAATAAAAAAATAAAAATACCAAAATTCATAATTTTTCATTATCTATAAATAGAGACCACATTTGATAGGTTTTTGAACACTAATTTTTCACTTTATAATATGTTCACCTTATTGTGTATGTAACATGTTCATCTTATTATATAACATGTTCATTTTATTATATAACATGTTCATCTTATTCTATAACATGTTCATTTTATTAATGTAACATGTTCATCTCATTTTATAACATGTTCATCTACATTTCATCTGTGAAAATGTAACATTTTCATCTTATTAGAGAGAATTTTGGTTTATTAAGGTGGAGGATATTCGATCGAAAGACTAATTTATGGAATTTCTTTTACATTCTAC